GTAACTAAATTGTGTGAGACATTATTAAATATATATTTGCATTTTAATAATCTGACTCTAGTTGCAGTATTGCCTTTCTTGTGTTACTCTGAACGTGCTATTTACAAACAAATTTTTTCGACCGAAATCATGCCGTGTACAACTCAACTACTCAAAAGCCTCTATAAAATAATAAATAGCCCCGTCCATCCCACCCCTCAACGCGATTGGCCCCTCTTTACAGTGCTTTGCCCTCATTGGCTAGAGGGAAACCTGTGGCCCCTCCCGCTCACATTAGCAAGACAATGATGTAGATGAGCAGCAGGCAGATGAGGATGAGGCAGAAGTTGACGAAGAGCTCCTGCATGTTTTGCTTGGCCTGCTGGGGAACCTCCATGGTGGACGCCCGCCGAATGGCCGCCCGCGTGATGTGCTGCACCTTCTCCATGCCAAGGCGGGGTGGGTGGGACGATTAGTGCAGAGAGAGGGGAGAGGTGCAGAGTAGAGAGGAAGGAAGGACAGAAGTACTGCGAAGTGGAGTGGAGAGCCGTGTGGGGAGGAAGGAGGTGATCTGGTTGCCAGTGGAGACGGGGGCTGAGGGAAAGGAGCAGGAGATGAAAGAGTGAATGTGCATGCAGATTCACTCGTGACATGCAGGTTTGGTAGATGTTTCAGAAGATTTTGACACTATATAGTGTCCTTAAAGCAATAGTTCATCCAAAAATGAAAGATCTATCATAATTTACTCACCTTCATGTCACCTTGTATGACTGACTTTGGGGTCATTAGGATTTTTTTAATGAAAGAAGTCTCTTATGCTCAACGAGCCTGAATTTGGTGAATATTAAAAATACAGTAAAAGCAGTAATATTGTGAAATATTATTGCAATTTAAATTTTAATTTAAAAAATATATATTTTTTTCTGTTTAAATGTCATTTATTAGCAATGTTGAAAACAGTTGTGAAAACGTATTTTTTCAGGATCTTTGATGATTAGAAAGTTCAAAAGAACAGCTTTTATTCAAAATAGAAATCTTTTATAACATTATAAATGCCTTTACAGTCTCTTGATTTGATTGATTTCAATGGAACACATTTTTGCTGAATAAAGCAGTACATTTCTTTCAAAAAAGAAAAAA